TATATATACATATATATATATACACATATATATATATACGTATATATATATATACATACATATATATATATATACACACACACACAGAAGCAATATAAAATACACAATGAAATCTTATATATAAGAGTTACCTATAAGTCTTGGGCCTTGTAGCAATGTGTTAAAAGCAGTTAACATTTAAGATGTTCATCTTCTATCTACCAGTGTCTTTTTTTATTTTGACCTGTGACAGGACTAAATTCACCAGTTTTCAGAAGGGTTTCATTTCCTTGATAAACTGACATTTACAACATTATTCTGAAACTCAGTGAGAGAGACAGGCAGGTTAATGATCCATAATACTGTTTACTTCTGGATTATCACTTTTTGGCTATATTTTCATGAACAGAATACCTAGAGCTGTTTCTCTAGCTCTGTCTCATCTGTGTTACAGAGCCTCAATGACATAGTCAGGTGCTAGACTGCCTTGCTCCCAACATTTAAAGAGGAAATGATTCAGGAAATCACAGAACAGCACTCACTTCTTATAACTCAGATGTCAACATACAAACCCAGAATGCTTTTAGCACCTTAGACCAGTCCTCCGATTCACATTATATTTATTTTGTGATACTTTTTTTAAAGCATATTTTATTTTTAAGTGCAAAATAGAAGGGAGAAGGTAATATCAAAATTGGCCCCTGACTCAGGTTAGGGACCTCTGAGTCATCAATGATTTCCTACTATCACACTTCACTTTAACCTACAAGCTACCTCAGAAATATAGCAGAGAATGACAATAAATAAATAATATTTTAAAAATTAAGATATTAAGAGGTATGGAGGATCAAATGTCTAACAGGAGTCTCAGGGGAAGAGAATAAAGAGAATGAAGGAGAGACAGCATTTAAAGAGACAATGCCTATTACTTTTTTAGAAACTATTTTAAAAAATGTAAAGCCACAGATACATGAAATAATGTATCTCAAGCAGAATAAATACAAAGAAATCAGTGCCTAGATCCATCACATAGTAGTGTAACTGCAAAAGAGCAAGGATAAAGAGAAGATTTTAAAAGTGGCCATTGAGAAGGTACAGATCTTATACAAGAGGATGGTACTCTGGTAATCTTTGATTTTTATATATGGAAGACACTGGAACAGAATACTGAATGAAGACACTGGAACACTGAAGACACTGGAATAAAATCTCCAAATGTCAAGAGAAAATAACAGGCAACCTAAAACTGTACCCAGCAGAACTATATATCAAGAACAAGAGTGAAAAACACAAAGAGACAAACAAAAATTGAACATATGCCAACAAGAGACCTAATGAAAGGAATTTCTAAAGAATGTATTTCAACCAAGACTGCTTTTGTTAAAAGAACGGTGAACAAAGAAAATGGTAACCACCTATGCAAATCCAAATAAATGCTGCCTGTATAAAACAAAAACAATAATACTATCTAATTTGTGGGCTGAAAATAAAGGACAGAACAAAAATAATGAAGAAAATAACAATAACATTGTGAACTAGGAGAGGGTTGAGGAGAGATTAAAATATTGTTTGACTTCGAATTTTTTTAAGTTACATGTGCATTGTACAATTCTCTACAAGTAGGAATATTAAAAAATGGAGTAAGAAAGAATAAAAACATGATTAATCAAAGAAAAGCCAGGAAAAGAAAAAAAATAGTAAAAAATGGGACAAATAGAAATACAATTAAGATGGTTAAGTCCATCTTAATTGTATTTCAATACAATTAAGCAATACTCACAGCAAATGTAAATAGACTAAACCTGCCGTTTAAAAGACATAGATTATCAGATTTGAAACATGACAAAGACGGCTGATACAGGCCTTCTGTTTAATATTGCATTGGAGGTCTTAGTTAACACAGTAATACAAAAAAAATAAAGGATAACTAGATGCATAAGAACTGAAAAGAAACAAACACAATTAACATTATTTACAGAGAAAATTTTTAAAGATTTTTAAAAATCTACAAACAAATTATTAGAAATATAGTATTTTGGGGTAGAGAGGATTTAACAAGAAACAAAAAGTGCTAAATATGAAAGATTGATAAATTCTATATTAAGAATTTCTGTTCTTCAAAAGATATAAAGAAATTTAAAAGATGAGTCATAAACTGCAAGAAGATATTTCAAAACATTATTATCTATATTCTAAAATATATAAAGAATTTCTACAGATCAATAAGAAAAGGAAAAAAAAAAACACTAGGCAAACAGGGATAGGTATTTCACAGAACAAGATATGTGCAAGGCCAAACAAGCAAGCAAAATGATGCTCAATCCAATTACTAATCAGGAAAAGGCAAATTATGACCACAATGAGATACCACTTTATACCTACTAGATTGGCAAAAATCACATATTTGACAATACCAAGATAGGAGGGATTATGGATCAATGGGAACTCTTATACATCAACAATGGGAGTATAAATTTGTATACCTACACTTTGGAAAACAATTTGGCATTATCTTGTAAAACTGAACATTCTCATACACAACAACCCAGCAATCCCACTTCTAGTAGGTTTCCTAGAGAAAGCTTGCAAATGCATGAGGATATTCACAGTAGCACTATCTGTAACAGCAAAACCTAGAAATTACTCAAGTGTTTCATTAACAGGAGACTGGATAAACTGTAGTATATTCAAACAGTCAGATATTACACATCAGTAAACGTGAACACACTATAGCTACAATCATATAACATGCATACACCTTAGAAACAAAATGTAAGTTTAGAACACAAGTCCCGAGAAAAAAACAGGTCAAAATAAAGCAAAACTAAATAATAGAAAGTTTATGAAAACAGATGTATATAATAAAACTTTAATCTAAAAAAAGGAAAAGAATTATAAACACTAGTTCTGGAGAACAGTTAACTCTGTTGAGAGGAGAAGGGGAATGGCATCAGGGAGGAAAACATAGGTCGATGGAAGTTATTGATAAAATTCTGGTGCTTGGGTTCTAACTATGCATTATATCATTACGCACTATAGCAATGTTATATATATTCTTTCATATATATCAAAATTTAGTTTAAAAAGTAATACAAAAAAACATTTTTTCCTACTTAGTGGCAGAATTCGGCCTGGAAGTCAGGTCCCAGCCCTGTTCTTTCCATTAGACTTAAAACACAAATCTAATCCTGTCAGTGTCAGGCTTTAAATTCTTTAATGATGCCACAGCACCCATGGAAAAAAGACCGAATTCCCTGGCACAATATTCAAGGGCATTCATAATTTGAATTTCTTCAGTCTCTTCTACCATTCTCATATATGTATGCACTCTACACCATATTCAACTTTTCAGTCTCGTGAATACCACAGGAAGTATCCTTGTGCATACGTCATTCCCTTTGTCTGAAATACCCCTCCCTCACTCCTTTACACATCAAGATTTCAACAGAGACAGTGAATCTTTCCAGGGACTCCAGGAAGAGCAGGGTCGTGTCTCCTCAATGCTGCACCCAACCACTGCACCCAAAATGTACTGAATTTTCTTACCTGCCTCCCATAATAGATTATGTGGCAGACCATGTCCATTGTCTTCTAAGTATTCACCTTCACCTTCCCTCTTATTTACAAATCTCAATCCTGTTCAGTGTGGCATGTGTCCACTAAAAACTGCTCAGCTCTTCTTACAGCCAGAGTGGTCACGTGAACCAGTTCTGGCCAAAGAAAGGAAAAATGAAATCTCCTAAGCGCAACTTCTAGGAAAGCTATTGTTTTTTTTTTTAATATAAGAGCCAGGCTCAGTGCGATTCCATATATTGCCCTTTGCCCTTTGTCTTGCCTGGAATATATATGGGATGCTTCAGGGACTAGGAGCCATCTTACAAGCATGAGGATGAAAGTGATGCAGGAGGAAAACAGGAGTCTGAGTCCTTAAGAACATTGTGACGTCCCTATACCAGCCCTGGACTACCCACCTCTAGACTTTTACATGTGAAAAGTAAACCCACTACTTGTTTTAAGATTCTATCTGGGTTTCTGTTGCAGTTAAACACAACCCTAACTAATAGTCACTGTGATCAATCAGACGGGAGAGATATTGCCTCATTCTCCTTCATATCCCTCAAATCTAGGACACTGCCTGTCCAGAAACAGGTGTTCAACAAATGTTACTGAATGAATGGACAAATCCCAAAACCATTCTGCCTTTAAAGTATTCTACCTAGGTATTTTGAAAATATTTCAATTTGAATAATTTTGATTCAAAGATATACAACAACTTTAACAACCAAAACCAAACCTTCTTGAAATATTTGTATTAATGTTAATTATAACCAAAAAGTAAAGGCAGACATTTGAAAATGTTCTAAGTGATTAGTACAATTAAAATCTTAACATAAGATTTTGACATCACCAATATAATTTAGAAAAAAAACAAAGAGTAACTATTAAAACAGTGTTGGTTTCTATAATACGTCTAATATGTTCTAAAATGTTAAATATAAAAAGCAAGATTTAGTGATTATCGCCACTAATCCATTCTGTTTTAAAGATTTGCTTGGAAGTATATAGAACCTTTTAAATCATACCAATATACAAATACACGAGATTATATAGAAAATTAATATTTACTTTTAAAAGTTCAACATATACATTAAAAAAATTCTCTTGCTAGTATTTCTGGCAATCAATAACTTTAAGATAAAATTAGTAAAATTTTTTAGCAGTAAAACTTTAAAGCAGGTAATTATAAATGGCCTTTCCCTCCAAAATTATTGCCGTAATCTCTTCAACTGGAAAATGAGAATGAAAATCTTGAGTGATTCTTACATTGTTGGTGTGAGGACGGAATGAGGTAGTAAGTATATGACACAACACTCACTGACACACTGAGTATAGTTTAGGAAATGCTTATAATGTGAGAAAAGCTGTCACTTTAAACACTGTATCAATACAGTCAAAATGAAGGGACAGAGCTGGCTATTTTTTAAAACAAATTACTATATAATACCAGTTTTAATAATTTGGAATCCTTCCCCACCACGTCCCCCTAAGGCTCCCCATGGAAAACCTTCAAGAATGTATGTCCCTCTCCACTTTGTAGGTTTACATTTCATGATTAAATTAGGCACTCAACCTTCAAATGTTTTATTTTGACAGTGGTAAAACATCTAGAACTATTTCTCTGTAAAGTCTGGCAAAACAGTATGTTTTTATATTGTTAAAGAGATTCTTAACCTCAGCATTCATAATAAGAGAACAGAAACAGAATTTCCAATACATTCCATTTGAGGGTTTAAACTGAGGTTTAGAGCTGGTTTCAGCTCTAAATCCCATTGAATGATAAAATGTTTTAAAACCTAAGGGCAATGATTTATAACAAACATGCATTGTTTCTTGTGGAAATAACTTGGCTTATTTGCAAACTGGTATTTCACATACACAGACTATAAATATGTGCAGAGCCCCAAATATTCCCTGTGGTGTGATGAGGAGCCAGAAGGGGCAGGGGTTGAAGTAGGACATGCAGAGAAGACGGACTCTACAAATCTGTTTATTTCATGATTTTGAAGGAATTAAGAAATCCCTTTTAAAATTTTTGATGTAGCAGAGAATAGAAATATGTGATACCTTCTCTCTGATCTGAGAAGGAATAACAGAAATTTTTTGTACAAATCTGATTTTAAGCCTTAAGCACAAATGTGGACATTCTGAAAACAGATTTTGAATTGTACCTCAGTAATTCCTTTTATAGTTTTTTCAAGTGTTCTCACTTATGTTCTTTCATCTGATCCTTTCAATTACCATATAAGGTAATTATAAAGAAAAATGACTCAGAAAAATCTTCAAACTAAGGAGTAGCTTGCTGCTGTAACCACCCAAGGTAATGTGGCAGGCAGGACTCCCAAGAGCAGGGCCTTAGGGTTCCATTTCTCTATTAAACATCAGCAACAAGAGTCTTCCAGGTCTTATGCTCTACAGTCTCTCTCTCTCTGTCTCTGTCTCTGTTTCTCCCTCCCTCTCTCTCTCTCTCTCATACACACACACACACACACACACACACACACAATTTCTTTCTGTGTCTCTATCTCTCTGCCTATCTTTCTCGTACACATACACACAAGCACACACAATCAGAAGGACAAAGCAATCTTACTAACATGTATGTTGATCTCAGAGGTACAAACTATATAAATTAAGCTAATTAAATCTAGTATTGTCACTCACTCGGGACTAATTACACAAGTCAGACTCCAAAAAATGTCCTAAACTTTCCTTTCTAGATGATGTACATTTTTAACAATAGCCTGGAGAAGCTCTCCCAGGTTGAAACTGTTTTGGCAACTGCCTAATACCAACTGAGCAGTTCTCTCGCCTTCTAATCATACATGGTACACAAAGAGCTGGAAAGAAACCCAAAGCTTTTAGAGCAACTACTGAGCAAGCCTGAAGAACTGAGTAAGGTTCAAGGAAACAAGAGAGGTAATACGAGCTCCTCTTCTTCATATTACTAGTTGTGTTACTTGGGCAAATAAAGCAACTCTTTTAAACCATTATTATTAGGAAGTAAGCTTATCATTCTAAGAGAAAAATGGATACAAACATAAAACAAAGGAAAGAAAACCTCTGTAATATTAAATCTGAATTAGAAATATCCATGTGAACTCATGATATGTATCCATTTATTTTTCTTGGCTCTAACCACTGAAGCAATGACATCCAAGTAGTAATAAATTTACCAGATCTTGGATTCTAATATTCCCCACCAAAAAGAATCAGAGCTCCTTTGAATAATGATTAATTCTAGGTCTGGGGTAGAAAAAAGCACAAGTGAACTTGGGACATCCTGTTGTAGCAGAAAGAATAATGAGGCCATGTCACAAAGGACCTGAAGGGCTCCCACTAGCAAAATTTGAGACAATTTGGGAAGCTAAAAGAAAACAATCACGATAGATTACAATATACTGAATTAAAAGGAAATCCATAAGACTACAGTGATCTCAAAAAGGGGCAAGGGAAAAGAGAGGAAAAAAGAAGGGGAAAAGGAAAAGCTCTTCTTCACATAAGAATGCCAGCTAACAAATGTAGAAGGAATAATAAAATTAAAATTTCATCATTTTGAAACCCTCAATGTAATTACTGATTTAAGCAAGAGTCATCAACGATACTAAACCCACTCAGAGAAAAGCAGTTGGGAACTAGTTTATAGTCTCGAAGCATCAGCCACAGATTACCACTAATTTCAAAGAAGAAAATAAACCTTTCAAATGGAGAGATCTGGCAATCACCACTTTAATCAAGTAATTAAAGTTATCACCAATAATGGAACAACTTACATTATATGCCTTCTGATTTGATTAAAGTATAAGTTTACAATTTCACCTATGAATAGAGTATCATATAATTTATCAGCTAAACAGGTTAATTTCTGAGAGGGAAAGGGGATGCTATTAATGATTATATCAAAACAATATAAACTGGAATTGTCATGGACCATCCTGGATTTATCCTTATCTGTAAGTATCCTTGCAACAATATTTAAACTGAATCTAATCATGATGAAACATTCAGACAATTGACCTATCCTCTTGACGGTCTAACTCATGGAAAGACAAAAACAGGGGACTGTTCGAGATTAACAGAGACTAAAGAGACATAATAACCAAATGCAGCAGGAGTTTACATGCTGCATCAGAGGAAAAAAAGCTACAAAAGATATTTTTGGGTTAATTAGGGAAACGTGAATATGGAGTATATATTAGATATTATAGAACATTTGTTAATTTTCTTAGAGTGAATATTGCAATCATGCAATTATTCTTAAAATATGTACAGTTAAGTATTTAAGGGTGAAATGTTGTAAAGCTTGCAACTCACTTTCAAATGGTTCAACCAAAAATATATATAATATCTAAGGATACACACACATATAACAGAGAAAGAAATAAAGCAAGCGTGGCAAAATGCATGGGTATTCAATGCAACTCTTCTTCCAATATATCTGTAGGTTTGAAGTTTTTTCAAATGAAAGTTGGGGAAAGGAGTAATCCAAAAAAACAACATTTTTTTTCTTACCTTGAAGTCTCTCATCAGTGAATATTTTGTTTGTTTGGTTCCACGTACTATCTATAAATATAATTTTTTTCAGTGTTGTGTCTTTGAACTTGCTATCATTCAAATCCTCTTCTTCGGTTTTCTTGCGTTTAGTAGATGGCTTGTCAGGGTCATCATTTTTGCCTCTAACATTATTTTGAATCCTTTTTTGCAGGTGAAAAGAAATGTCTTTTATTGAGACAGACTTAGGCCCAGGAAAAACAAGTGCAACCTGAAGCAAAGAAACTCAAGTTAGTAGTATGCTATTATGATTTCCAAAATGAGTAAATTCTGACTGACTTAAAACTTTAAGAAAAAAAATATGGTGAAAATATGAGAAACAAGCATTAGGTTCTTTAATATGTATGGTAAAGTTCTTCGCTCTTCCCTAGTAATTTATAATCACGATATACTACCTAAAAGTATTACTTCACTGTACCTTGAATCAAAAAACTAAACTCTATAATATTTCATAAAATAAAAGGCAAAGTATGTGATACTTCGCAAAAGAACCATTGAAAAGCGCTCAATAATTAAATACCATTTTCACCTATATAATAAGCAAAGATGAAACAAATGATATAGTCAATGCTGGTGAGGAAATGGTGTAATGGGCCTTTATGGCCATTACTGATGGCAGGTTTAAATAGTATAACTCTTCATGAAAGCAATTTGGCAATTTAAATCAAGAGTCTTGAAATGTTCATATCCTTTGTTCAAATAATTTCACTTATGGGAACTGATCTTAATAAAATATCCTAAATATACACATACTCACAATTCCTAGAATATTTATTCCAATATATTTATTACAGTGAAAAATTAAAACTGAAAAATCCTACTATCATGGAATAATTCTGTAAATTACATGTTTTTACTATCAGATCCTTATATACTATCAGATCCTCCAATGTCTGCAAGGCTCCTGTCACAAAGCAGGCACCCAATAAGTATTTGTTAAATGAACAGATGTCGGTAGAATCATGAGTATTTTATGCCCCATACTTTTCTCTATTTCCCAAATTTTCTTTAACAAGCATGTATCATTTTTAATATGAAAAAATAAGCATTATAAAAAGAAAAGAAACAAAAAATCTAGAATTTATAAACTTCAAAGTTATAAAACATTTTCAAACATTCACAATGCATGCCTGTATTTCCCCCATACCATACTAACAAAGTCCAGGGCTTCTTAATTTTCTTGGATTATAAGCCTATCATGTCTCTCTACAGAACCTAGCACCGTGTTCTATTTAATTGACATAAATGATATCTGGCTGACCAGAGAAGGAAACACAAATATATTCCTAAATCCAAAACTCAGATATTATTTACAAACACAACTTTCCATATAAACTCAACCAAAAAATATATATATATATTGACGGGAAAGGGAAAACTTACCAAGGTCTTTCTAGAACAAATGAATGTATTTTCGTTTCTAGATTAACCACACCAACAAATGGTCCCCAACAGACCTAAAAGAGGGGTCTTCTTTCAGAAGTACCCAAGGCCTGGTTTTTTTTAGTTTGTTTGTTTGTTTGTTTTGTGAGGAGGACTAACCCCAAGCGGACATCCGATGCCAATCCTTCGCTTTTTTCTTGAGGAAGACTGGCCTTGGGCTAACATGCATGCCCATCTTCCTTTAATTTATATGGGATGCCACCACAGCATGGCTTAACCAGCGGTGCGTCGGTGCGCACCCAGGATTCGAACCTGTGATCCCCGGGCCACTGCAGTGGAGCGCGCGCACTTAACCGCTGTGCCACCAGGCCAGCCCCCCAAGGCCTAATTTTTCAGGATCTATTGCAACATTACTTTTCAACAAGACCAGTAATATCTCACCAATGTGACAATTTCAACTATGCGAAAACCAGTTAAGAATCTAGAAATGAGCAAGGAAGGCCTCTGAGCAGTCAAAAGAAATGTTACAAACGCCATGTACTAAAGCTCTTAATTTAGGGAGAATTACTGGAAATCTTTCTCAGTCTTTCTTTTCTTCTTCTGGAGAAATTCCAGCAATGTTTGTAATCTGGTTTCCCAGCTTGCATCAAATTAGACCACCTCTGTGTGGTACAGGCAGTGGGACAAAGAGGGGAGAAAGTAAAAGCGGGCATAGGCATATTGGCATAGAGTAAAAACCTGAAGAAATAACACAGAAAAACTATAAAAAGTGGAAAGACAGACTTAAAAAAGCCTAACAAAATAGGATCATTTGAGCTTTGAAGCCACCAATGAAGTAAATTGTATGTTACTTAGTGCTACATACGGATAACACTAGGTCATGAAGAAAAATATTAAATTATGTTCAAGTAAGTTCAGAAAGGCAATAGAGTTTAAAATTCATTTTTAGAGTCGATGTGAAGAGTTGTAAAAAATAAGCTGCCTACTTCATGGTCCTTTTCTTCATATTCTGGAATACAAGGATAAGTGTAGATATTTACAAAGTCAGGTGCTAAGAGTTTTGCATGTATAGCAGTACTTTTGCCATCTGTTTCATTTGGATGTTTAATGATGTCAATCTTCAATGGAAGCTAAAATTTAAAAAAAATACAATTAAAACAAATATCAAAACTCTGATTTTTATGTTAATAAAAATGGTTTTTAAAGCTTAAATAGCAAGTTCACAATGTTACTAAAAATATACTTATGGTTTGAAAGTCATACTTTTCTAGACCAGATTAAGAATGGTCGGAGTCACAAAGCAAACCCAAATTTCTTCCTCAATATTGTTAATCATGCAATAGAACAACTATTTCCAACTCATTTAACAGAATCTGCTCTAAAGCAAAGCTCCAATGTCATTTGCATTTAAGTTACACAAGCATTAAGTCTAATTCCTTGCATTTCAGTATCTGTGCCAAGAACATTTTTTATAATTCCTATAAATTTTAGATTGGTTAATTTTATGATATATTAAAAGGAAACATAAGTTTGGGCAAAAGCTTCAGATCTAAAATGCAAGTTAAAATTTTGTTCCTGATACATCCTTTAAGAGCAAAGGCACTATCCTTTGTTGTGAACATCATGATTGTCGGAGTGGCCTTTAACAGCACAAACGAAATAATTATCAATTGGCAAAACTGTAACAGAATAGGTTTAGGAGGTACACTATATAAAAAATAACTCTCTTCAAAATCACTTTGCTTATTTCCCTTAAAGTTTCATTATTTTACTGTTACAGATTATGTCCTGCCTCTATACAAAACTAATATTCTCTTGCATTTCTTGACTTAGATTTTTCTATTATTTTACTGACTTGTTTGGTTTAGTTTACTATATAACGCCTGGTCATGTCCTGCATTCAGCCATGATTATGAATATGAAAGCCAAGTCACATCTCCCCCACTATACATAAGAAACTCTCTCTGAGATGGATTCTTTACTGTGGATTTCAAATGACTTCTTTGTTATGATAAGCAGCCTTCCAGCCCAATTCCCACACTAAACAGGCAGGATGCTAGCTATTTACCCTGGGGCACACAGCTAGTTTATCCTGGAGTACAAAACTATTTTTCTTATTTTTTAAAACAGCTTTATTAAAGATGTAAAATCAATATAATAAATTGCACATATTTAAACTGTACAATCTAATGACTTTTAACATGTGTTACACCCTTGAACTCATCAGCACAATCAAGATAATGAACATATCCATCACCCCCAAAAGTCTTCTTGTGCCTACCTCCTTCCCCTTTCCCCAACACCACCACCCACAGTCTTTAGGCAATCATTGATCTGCTATCACTATAGATAAGTTTATATTTTCTAGAATTTTATATAAATGAAGTCATACAGTATGTACTCTTTTCATCTGACTTTCTTTACTCAAAATATTATTCTGACATTCATCCATAGTGTTGTATATATCATTAATTCCAGAACTATTCTTTAAAGAAGCAGTTGCTGCATGCCACTAAATGATCCCAATTGCATATATTCTATCTTTCTGGACGATTATGTGGAGAGAGGACAGTGTATACTCCAGGAGGCCCATAAATATGTACCCCAACTAGTTTTCAGTTTAGAGTTTCAAACCCCATGCCTCCTACCCTCCCCACTTAGGCCTAGTGATCATTTTTAACTTAGGGCCAATTGTTTCAAATCATCAAACTTCTAGTTATAGAAAATTTACCATTTAAGTAGCCAGTTCACAAATGATTTTACATCACTGTACTTCTGGCTGAACTCTACCTCAGACTTCCCTCATGCTGTTCAGTCACAGCTGACACTAATTCCCTTTCCCCAGGGTCTCTCAGTACCAGGTCAGCATTATCTCAGCCCAGGGAAGGTAGCGAAGAGGAAAGCAGAAAAAAAAAAGCAGATCATGACCAAGTATTCTATTACTAATAAAATTGACTTTCTTATATGGCTGATGAGGAGAGCTGAAAATTCCAAAGGCAATCACCAACATTTCTGATCAGCTGGCTATCTTGAAGGATATCATTTATATCAAGGACACAGGACTGAGTGTTATTAATGTATTTTAGAAATCATATACCTAGCCTATTTTTTGAATAACACAATAAAAAGAGAAAGTTTTACGGACTAAAATCTACAAATATAAGAAAATTATGCAAAATTTGTGTTCGAGAAGTTTTCCTGGGTCCCAGTCCAGGTTATCTTTAGTTCTCCCTGAGTAAGCCTAAAATTTCTGATACTATGAAACGAAAGCACAGACACAGATGAAATCATGGAAATACATGTTTGTGTTCTAGTTCACTTTTTTTTTTTTTGTGAGGAGGTCAGCCCTGTGCTAACATCTGCCAATCCTCCTCTTTTTTTTGCTGAGGAAGACTGGCCCTGGGCTAACATCCGTGCCCATCTTCCTCCACTTTATGTGGGAGGCTGCCACACATGGCTTGACAAGTGGTGCGTCGGTGCACGCCCGGGATCCGAACCGGCGAACCCCGGGCCACCGCAGTGGAGCGCCCGCACTTAACCGCTTGCGCCACCGGGCCGGCCCCTCTAGTTCACACATTTTAAAGGAAACTACATCTTTTTTTTTTTTTTAAAGATTTTATTTATTCATTTTTTCCCC